CGAGAGAATAGTTGCCACATCATCAAGGTATTGTGTCATAGTTTTGGTACCTTTACGAAGAGTGTGGAGTTTGTCCCGAAGCTGATAAACATGAGCGGTGGACACAGAGTTGTACCGTGCGGCCAAAGCATCCCAGAGGGCAGCAGATGTGGTGAAGCCGCGAGCATGTTTGTGAACGGAGGGGCTGATGACCGCTAGGAGGCAGGCGCGGATCTGTGTGTCAACGATGGTCCAGGAGGTATACTCTGGATTAGGGACGATTTTATCGTTTTTGGAGATAGTTGGCGCCGGGGCTGCTTCATGACCATCAATCCATCCAAGGAGGAGATTAGCTGAAAGAGCTGTCTGGACATTGAGAGACCATGCCGGATAATTTGTTTCGGTGAGTTTTTCTGGGATTAAGTTGTGGAGACTTCGAAGCAAAAGTTTTACTCCGGAGGGTAAGGACGCCAAAGGATCCGACGGGGCTGCCATGGTGGGCGGCGGTCGGAAAAAAAAAAGAGAGGCTAGGTTTTTGAGAGCCTTAGCTCCGATACCATGATACAGTTTGATAATAACTTGTCTTATTGAATATTGAGAGATATGGCTCTATATATAGGGAATACAAGAGTAATCAAAGTACAAGTAGGAAAAGAAAGAATAATCCTAGTAGGAAAGGAAAGAAGTATCCTAATTTAATTATACTTCCTAATACAATCCATGTCTTTGGCTTAAAGATTTGAGTTCCTAATTCAATACAATAATTACACCTATAATTTAAAATAAAGCTTGATTTTGAGTTTTGACAGTTCTTTGCCGAAAAAAATAATAAAGAAATCCCTAATACCAAGTTGGTTGAGTTGTTATGACATTCCGGTGGTTGTCAATTTAACTTTTAAGTTTCATGCGCACGTTGAATTTCAACCAAATTTCTTAGAGACACATTCTCCCATGTACATCTTCACACTAGAGCTTTGGGATATACCCTCATTGTAAGTATGTGACGCGATCAAGTATCACTCATGTTAAACTCATGTGTCACACTCGAGCGTTATCTAACCAATGCCCAGAAGCACTGCCATTTGACGTCTCAAGTAGTTTCTCAGTGATGTCGTAATTCTTCGCTAAGAGACACACATTGATGAAATATTGAATTTGATCTAAAGATGGTTGTTTGTCACCATGCTTATCCCACAAGACTAATAATGTAGATAATATTCATATATGAGTCTGAATCATGAATTTTATTACTGATTAAAATTCATAAATATTCATCGATACTTTTTTATCAATTTCAGTAAGAAAGTTCATGATTCAGATTCATATATGAATATTACCTACATTTCTAGATTTGTGAAATAGGCTTGGGGGCAAGCAATCCTTTTTAGATTAAATTCAATATTTCACCACTGTAGGTCTCTTAACGAGACATTATGACATCACTAGAAAAACGCTTGAGGCATCAAATGGCAGTGCTTCCGAGCTGTGGTTAGATAATGGCTAGGTGTGGCACATGGCTCAAGCACAAGTGATACTTCAACAACTCACATACTTACTACGAAGGTATATCTTAAAACTGGTGTGTGAGGATGTACATGGGAGAATGTGTCTCAAAGAGATCGCGTTGAAAATCAACTCGCACATGGAATTTGAAAGTTGCATAGAAGCTGACACCTACCAGAATGTTAGAGCAACTCAACCTATTTGGTATTTTAGAGATTTACTTATTGTTTCTTTAAACTTTTGGAACTTGAAATAAAGTCACGTTTACAATAATAGACGTAGTTAATACATTGAAATAAGAACTCAAATCTTTAAGACGAAGAAGTGGATTGGAATCGAAACCACACCGTAGGTGGGGAGGAAAGAGGTGATCTTTGTTTCTTGTCATCTTGCTGTTGAAAGAGAATTGAAAACAGACTATGATGAAATTAGATGAGTTTTTGTGCAGCGGTTTTAATAGGTCCTAGTATAACATTTAAGGGCCGTTTTTTGTAATTTTTAAGGAGTCGGATCCCGTGTACTTACCAAATTGTCTTTCCAACTTCTCTATCCCCTACCTAGTTGGTTTCCATTTCGCTTCTAATGATCTTTTACCTCTTTAATTACTTCTTCTACTCAATATTAACTGTCTATTATTCCGTATAACCTTTATAATGCATTAATAAATAAATAAATTTAGACATATTTTATGTCTACATTCATTTATTTTTCAATGTATCATAAATTTATTTAAAATTTCAGTTTAAGTTTTATTATGCTTGAGTTACATCCTATGTGAGTTTTAACTTTTTTTTGTAGGCAAATTTAAAAACATTAATGAGCAATTGGAATATTATTTTCTTAACGAAATAAAGGACATGATTCTCTTGACACCCACCTTGGGTGTCATAGCATGACATCGGGCAATTATATTTGAGGGCCTCACGGTGCTCTGTTGAGCCCCAATGTGGGTCATATCCCTGCAAACCTCCCTAGCGCACGATAAGCATTTTGGCCATCCAAGGGCTAGGGGAAAGCTCAGAGGAGGGCACCCTTCGGGTATCAACGGGGCATTGATGTCATAATATGACACCAAAAATCGGTGTCAAAAGAACTGTCACATAATATGACACACCTTTGTTAAATAAGGGCATCGGGCTACTTGTGATTAAGATGGTCATGGTGATGATGATGATGATGATAACAATGGCTCGTTTTTTATTTTTCAGATCAAATTTTATGGGGACAAAGTTCAAAATATACGACACACAACCCCCTGAAACTGGGGCAACCATCACGGTGCTGCCAGGACGTACGAGTTTCAGGCTCCACTCCAAGAAAGTCTCTCCTAAAACCCCAACCGAGGCCAACAATTACAACATAGCTCAGATCGCCTACAAGCTGAAAGTGCTCGGGACGCGGGGCCCGCGGAGAATGCAATGCGTGATGCATTCCATTCCCGCCTCGGCCCTCGGAGCCGGCAGCACAGTTCTAGGACAGCAGGAGCTCTGTCCGCGGTCCGTGGAGGACTCTTTCCAGTCCAAGTCCTGCGGGCCCACCACGACGACCACCGAGTTCAACAGCGCACGGTTTTCAGACACGGATGCCGAGAGTAACCAGACGAAGAGACCCTTGGTTCTGAAGAACAAGGCGCCGCGCTGGCACGAGCAGCTGCAGTGCTGGTGTCTGAACTTCAGGGGGAGGGTCACGGTGGCGTCGGTGAAGAACTTCCAGCTGATTGCCGCCTCGGGGAGTGATAATCACGGCGAGAAAATCATTCTGCAGTTTGGGAAAGTTGGGAAGGATATGTTCACCATGGATTACCGCTACCCTCTGTCTGCGTTCCAAGCTTTTGCCATCTGCCTGAGTAGCTTTGACACCAAATTGGCTTGTGAATAATAAATAAAAAATGAACCATGTTACACTTAAACCAAAAATTATACCCCATTTGTACACCACAATTATACACAAGCATTCTGATGGTTTACACCGAAAGTTTACTCATCAATACTGTAGTCTACTGACAATGTGACATATTGAGACCAATGAATAGTTAGATTCGCTGTCCTGAAATACGATCAAATCCGAGACGAAAGGTCAAAACGACTATTTCCTAGGACAATGACTCCTTGAGTAACTTCCAAAGAGTGAAACATTGAATAAAGAAAATCTACGATTGGCAACGATAAGTCGCAAACACTATCTTTGTATCTTGTGACTCACATCCTTGAATGACTCAACTTGTTGTATTAACTACACCCTTGAAATACCTCGCTTGATCAATCTTGAAAAGATTGAATTCCATTCTTTGAAAACCAAAGATGTTCATGATACCGAT